TACTTTATCACCTTGTAATTATTTTTCACATTTATGATTCACTAAGTAACTATAAGAAAATAACTATTCTCAAACTAGATTCATCAATACTTTTTTATAAAACGATAAACTGAAAATTTATTAAAATTTAATTATTAATAAGACGTTCTAAATATTGAAATCAATTACATAAGATTAAATGTTGGAAAATAAAATATTAAGCGATGATATTAAGCAGTTCCATACCGTTTTTAAATCAAACAATTCTCTTTTTAAGTTTGTTAAATAAAATGTTTACATATTACAAACCTTAAATTATTAACAGCTTTTACAAAATGTAGAGAAAAATATGTAAAGTTTTTTTATAACAAATTATTATACTCTTGAAAAGTATAATGCACTATTTAATTATTATTTTTAAACAATATTTATACTTTTCTTATCTTAACTAAAAAACATCTTCTAATAAAATTTTTATTTTTTTTAAAAGTATATTTAGTAGTTAGAATAATAAATGTTATTATGAAGTGTAAATTAAATCTTTAAATAATAATTTAAGTTTTTATAAGATACAGGTTAATTTAATAAAGACATAACATCTACAATTATAAATATTATTTACTGTTTAAGAATTTGAATCAAATATGATTATATTTATACAATAAGAAATAAAAGTTGAAGGTTTTTAATAAATCTGTAAAATTTAATATGACTTATATTTATTCAGTAAATCTTCTATTAATGAGTTTAAAATAATAAATTCTTAAATTTTATTTAAGATTCTCTTTTACTTCTTCACTGATTTCTTTAAGTGTATTAAACTGATTATTTACATAATTTTCAAATTCTAATAATATTTTGTTAATTTCATTGCGTTCTCTTGCAATAAACGATTTAACAACATCTAATTGAATTTGTGACTCTGAAAAATCTCTTTCACTCTTAATGTAAACTGAATCAGATTCTAATTTCAATTTAAGCAAATCATTTTCTAACTTGTCGGTTTCATTTAATGAGTTTTGATGATTATTATCAAATACTTCTTTCTTTTCATTGTAAATTTCGTTAATATTAGCTAATTTTTGTGTTGAGTGATTATACTTTTTATCAAGATCTTCTTCAAGTGTTTTACATTCTTGTAATTTGGCTTCCAATGATTTACATTCAAGTTCATATTTAAGTGCCAAATCTTTACGACTAAGAAATTCACTCTCATGTGTTTTTAATTCAAGAGATAATTCATCTGTAGAAATATTCTTTAGCATTGATATTTCTTGGATTAAGTGATCTCTTTTTTCTTCTAAATCACCAATTGCACATTGAATTCTATTTAAATCACTTGTGAGTAATTCTTTTTGAGATTTTAACTTTTCTAATTTCCCAATATATAAATTTCTTTTATCATTTAGTTCTTTAATATCTTCAATATTGACATCCTGTTTTGATATTTTTTCTTTTAATTCTTCTCTATACTCACCTACTTGTTTAATATTATCATTTAG